GTGTTTAGAAATGGTAGGTCATGTTTATTGTTGTGTTCGAACAAGTTGCACAACTTGACTTATCACACAATGAAAGCTGTTGCTAGAAATAATATTTAATTGAAGGTAATTAATTACCACCACCTAAACGAATGGCTGGACTAGACTAAGATAAACTCCAATATCAAAGTTTTCGGGTCGTCTTTTCTCTCTCCCTTGAATCCGGAACATAACAGTGTCGCTTCGCGGCAGTAATGAGTAATTCGTTGGTGTCTTCCCAAACGAGTTCTGTACATGCAACGTTACCATCAGTGAAAAATATTTAAGGGGAAGGAAATAAAAGCATTTTATTAATTCACTTTACCCATCTGGGTGTGTTAGATCTTTAATAAATTGTTGTTGTTATTAAACTTTAAACCAGGATTTTGGGTTCGTGACTCTCAAGTATAAAATTAGCTCGTTATTCGTCGCAAAATTGAGAATATACGTAGTACACATGCAGGTGGTTTTGTTTTCAGATTCAGCGTCATAATACGGCGTATTATTTTTTTTTGTTGTAACTCAAGGCTACACGACAGACAGCCTCGTCAAGTATACAGTGATGATGGCGCCAGCCTACTCAAAATATTTATAACCGTGACTCTCTAAGCGACTTGTTTCAAGAAACAGAAAAAAAAGATTAATGTTGCTTTTCATAGAATTACAAATACCTGTGTTCTTTTAAAAGCCAGTCAATCACGTGAACTTGGGCCTCAAGTCGCTAATTTTAAATCATCTCAGTTACGTGTCGTTAGAATGACAGGATTTTGTACTATTGGTATTCTGCTAAAAGTTTAGAGTAGAGACTTGTCAGTGGCTAGCTATGGCGGGCTACATTCAACTGCCACTGCCTCCGTGGCGGAACTGTTACCATGCTGGACTGCCATTCAGAGGTCCCGGGTTCGATTCGGGAGAAATATTTGTATGGCCTACGTTTATTTCTCTCGTGAGAGTAGATGTATTTTTTTTATAATATCAAGTGACGGGATGAACAAATCGTGTGCTTGGTGTTAGGCGACACGCCTCTCCATAGCAGTTGCAGCGCCCCTCGGGGCTCTAAATCGCAAAGATCTTGGGGACACTGACCCTTCGCCTGTCACTCTGAGACATAAGTTGACAAGTTCCACGTGCCTGTAATTTCACTACCCTTCTGAACTGAAACATATGCTCATATTACTGTTTGACGGCAGATGTAGGTAAGGTGTCAGTGCTTCCTTGGACGAACTCTTTCGTTAGGAGCTCTTCTTCTACTGAGAAAGGTACATTACTACGTAGATAAAATCCTAAATTCTTGAGCAATAAAGGTTAATTTAAACCTAAAAAATTTCAATTTTTATTCACAGAATAAACGCGTAACTCGTTTTTTGCTGTTATTTAGAGTAACTTGAAATGTAAATATTAGGCATTCATAAATTAGGCATTCAAAGTGAGTTACGATATGAATATTTATTGATTTAATATCACGTTGTTTTATTAATATGATTTTGGTATATTATTTCTGAAAATGGTCCCAATGTTTATAACATGCGCCGTAAACGCATTTTTACTAAATATTACAACCACCTGTTTAACCGTTGAAACACTTTTTAAAAGCCTGTCCCAATCTCGCGAAGCTTTTAAAGCTGTCCATAAAAACCGCAATGGCCTCTGGAAAAGTATAAAAACCGCTCTGTCATTTGGAATGCCATTAAAAAGTGTCTGTTCCCGTATTTATTTACTGGGAGTTCAGTCGTCAAATCGTTTTATGATACTTCGTAGTAATGTTTGTTTGGAATTGAAAATGTTTAAAAAAAATACTACTTTTTTCTTCGTGTAATGTTAATACTGTGTTTCTGACTCGCGTTGTTAATTGCATATTTAATATCTCACAAAAAAATGTATGAAAAGAAAATAATAATATAATAATAATAGTTAGCCAACACATAATCCCACTAATGGGCACAGACCTCCTCTCACAATGAGAGGGCTTGGATTTTAGTTCCCATGTAGTTCCTAATGCGGATTGGGAACTTCACACACATCAAAAATTGCTTTGCAGATGTGTGCAGGTTTCTTCAGGAAGTTATTCTTCACCGAAAAGCCCATGGTGAATATCAAATTAAATTTCGCTCATAAAAAAGTCAGAGGTGCAAGCCGGGATTCAAATCCATGACGCTTTTGCTTGAGAGGCGGTGGGTTCAACCGTTAGGTTACCCCAGCTGTCTTGAAAGTAAACTTTACAATTTTTATTAAAAAAAAAGAAAACGATTTAAAATTTTACTTATACTTTGTATATGTATACATTGATATAATGAATAAATTGAAATTAAAAAGTTAGAAGTGCGAGACACTGGATTCCTCCCCAAGTTTGCCACCCTTAAAGATGGAATATTCATTTCAAATTTACCTTAAATTAACCTTTTTCTAACAAAAAAGAACCATCAAAATCGGTTTCCAAATACCGGGAATAATCGCGTAACATATAAAGACAAAAAATAGGCGTGAGAACCTCCTCTTTTTTTGAAGTCGATAAAAAAAATATGCATGACTTTGGTAGCCTAGTGTAGTTTACTAATGGGAGTTGGATGGGAATATCTCGGGTCCTATTCCCGATTGAACCAATGTGGGAAACGAAGGTTTCTAAATTGGTTTTGGTCTGGCTGTTTTATGTACTTTTAGGCTAACTTCTTTAGGTACTTTACATTTTTACGCTTTAATATTTATAAAGCAAATTACACTTGAAATACGTCATACCGAATAACCTCTACTGCTCATTCGTAAGGCAGATTTCCCTGAGAAGAATAAGCAAGAAACTCAAGGGGTTTCTCTTTGTAAGTATACATTTGTATACATTTATCATTACAATATTTAAACAACTTAGAGCGAGACTACCTGCAAGAGCTAAACGGGTCACTACCACAGATTTTTGTCATCCAAGTACGCAAAAGCTGTGTAATAACCTTTAGTATAAAGTTCTTGTTTCACAATAGTTTTAAACCTCGTAAATGGCAAATTTTCAATATCAATCGGAATCTTACTGTATAAGTATATACAATTGCACTTTAAATGAATTTGAGATTTTATGAAAATCAAGAACAGCTAGTTTATTTTTCTACTTGGTTCAAATTTATGCCTTCTTTTTACGTTGGGGGATAAAAATATGAATTAAAAATTATTGATACAGAAGAAAAACTTATTGATATAATAAATTTATTATGACTACTAATACAGGAACTATTTCAGAGAGATCTTATTTCTTTGTCGTTTAAAAAATTCTACTATTCCACTTTTGAATAGTTGAATGTAGACATATATCTGGTCAATAGCGGATTTTCCCTAAGGCTCAGTAGGCCCTGGCCTAGGGCGGCCAGATTTCAGGGGCCGCCAATCGTGACAAAAAATTCACTGACGATGACAAGAAATGACTCAAAGTTCCTAAATATTCTAAAGGCTCACGCACATTATGGCGGGCCGCACTGCACCTCATCGTATAACATATAGATCGTTTAAACATCGTATACAATATATGTATAAAGTAGATATGTTACATATCTATAATGCAATGTATAATCACTACTGCGTCTGTCTGTTTGATCGCGATAAACTCAAAAACTACTGAACGGATTTGCATGCGGTTTCGACCAATAGACAGAGTGATTCATGAGGAAGATTTAAGCGTATAATTTATTTAGGTTTTGTGTAAGTTAGCTGAATTATGACGATAAATGTTGAAGATGTCGGAAAAAAATCATGCCGGTTGGGCGCCCCGCAAACAAACAGATATTATATCAAACCAATGTTCTAGAAAAATATTGAAATTTAAAAAAAATATGAAATAGTAAATTTCTGAATCGATTTCGATAAAAGTTGGCAATAAAGTAAATTCATTATGTAGTCTACCATATTATGATAAGTACTGAGAAAGGGGCGGCTGGTACTGACTACATGGCCTGGGGCTTAGGGCGGCCAAGACTGCAAATCCGCCACTGTGTCAGGGTATAATATTAATATCTATACTGCAATTTATTATGTTATGTTTACTATTTATAAATTTAATGCCGAGGGCAGCCTTGATGACTGATGTACATACATGTAAATTCGTTTTAATATGGCGCCTGATAGTGTAATATCATTGACACTGTAAAATTCTCCGCCATTTTGCTAAGTTTTTATTTCACACCACTATGGTCTGATCATTATCAATCCATTTATAGGTCCCACTGGTGGGTACGAGTCTTCTTTCAAACGAGGGTTTTGGCCGTAGTTGTAGCTGCTGGCCCAATGAGGGTTGGGAACTATACACGTTCTCCGAGTGTTATTAACCTTCTCTGACGTGCAGGTTTCACGATATTTTCCTTCACCGCCTAAACGTATAAATGGATTGATGGTGATGATGAATTGTCTAAGAGAGAGAGAGAGAGATAGGTTTATGTCTTATTTGTATACCGCCCCAATAAGAAAGTGACTAATTCGAAAAGTAATTTTTGACAATCTGAAAAGAAAGAGGCACATGCCATCAGTTACATCGCGTATGTTTGTTTGATAAAACACATATGCGATTTTGATCCGAAAAAACATTATCATTTGCAACATACACACTTCGTAAATTTTTTGCGTTACAAATTTCTTAATTATTTTTCAGTCGCACACTTTCGTTGTCTCATGGGATATTTAAAACTTCATTTAAAACGACGTTTTGACGTAAGAACATGCGGTCACGTTAGTTTAGTCATCGCCAGAAACATTTGTGACAAATCTGTGGTTATTTTTTTGTGTGCGGGAGGGTACAGTCATTTCATAATAATATAACGTCCAAAGGTATTTAACTCTGAGTCAAATAATATACAATTTTCCTGGAGTATTTAATAATAGATTGTGATTTTAACTAAGCCAGAATGTCAGTTTTATTAATAGAGTATTAAAAAATTGTCCGGGTTTTTTCACCATCTTTTTGGTTTTTCTTGTTGTGGTTGTCAGTTCGGCTATTTTACAAAAAAGCCGCTATGGATCGTATGCACGCACCTGGTAAGGGTATTTCCCAATCAGCATTGCCGTACCGCCACAGTGTTCCTACATGGCTGAAATTGACCGCTGATGATGTAAAGGAGCAGATATTCAAACTCGGCAAGAAGGGCCTTACACCCTCACAAATTGGTGTCATGCTGAGGGACTCACATGTTGTGGCCCAAGTCAGATTTGTCACTGGCAAAAAGATCCTTCGTATCATGAAGACTATGGGACTGGCCCGTGATCTACCCGAGGATTTGTACTACCTGATCAAGAAGGCCGTAGCCATGAGAAAGCATTTGGAATTCAACAGGAAGGACAAGGTCAGCAAATTCTGCCTTATCCTGGTTGAGTCTCGTATTCACAGACTAGCTCGTTATTATAAGACAAAGAGTGTGCTCCCACCAAACTGGAAATCTGAGTCTAACACAGCCTTAACCCTGGTGGCTTAAGTCTAAACTTTACCTTTTCTAAACTTCAGTATCAAATTTTCACAGTACATATAGAAATAAATTTTGACTCATTCATTACCTACTGAAAGATCATGGATCACCAAAGTGTAAAAACTATGTCCACAGCGTACACAAATGACTATATGGCTATATTTATTGAAAAACGTACATATTTAACTAAATAAATTTAAATAAATTTAACTTTAAGAAAACTTAACTTTAACTTTAACTTTAAAAATGTAATATTAAGTTAAATAAATTTAACGTATATATTATAGTTTACAATAGTATGTGTCGCTTTATTGTATACTAGGAATTATAGAATAAAAAAATGTATTTTTATAACTGCCTCTGTGGCCGAACGGTTACCATGCTGGACTGCCACGCTGAGGACCTGATTGCGTTTCCGTTTGGTTGTAATTTGTGGTGTTACATGTGTATGTGTCTGGAACTCGCGACTCAGGGTTTTCCTAGTGTGGGGCTATAGTGTGTGCGTTATTAGATATACATATATTATATTATATATGAAAAATGTAAATTGGTGGAAAATATTTGAGTGTGGTTTTTTTAGTACTCTGTACTGAGATTATTTTACTGTTTATTTTCTAAACAGTCCCAAGTATAAGTTGACTCGTGTTTTTAGTATTCATAAATACAAGATTATTTTTAATTACTTCCAAATACATTTACAACTTATTACTAGATTCAAATGTCACAAGTTATTTATTTTTCACCTCACTACCTTGGAAAGGCTTTTTTTCCCATTAGAAATCTGCGCGCAAAAGCGCTTTTTGTACGCTAGCGTGGAATAGGTTTTTTAAATTCGAACCTGACGATGGACTGTGGACTGTGATGGACTTTTAAACGATGAAAAAAATCATAATCATTTCAACTACGAGATTTGTTCCTAGACGATGGAAACCAAACTTAGATGATGGAAAAAAGTAAAAGAAAGGAGCTGCCCTAACAACGGAATGAACGTGCATATACCTAAACAAAAATTTTCTCGTACATTATCTAAGTAATTTAGATCAGTTGGTATATTTTATTTTTGTTATGGTTGATATTAATTTGACCACGATATTATATTTAAATTATAATTAATTTATTAAATTATTATAATTTGTCGAAGAACTAAAATAATTTCAATCATCACGCAAAATTATAAGTACAAGCAAGAATAAAAATTGATGAGATGTAAATTCAGAACGCATCCGAAGATAGAACTTTTTCTTTTCACTATAAAAAATAGTGACGCGTTCCGATATTTGATTCGTCTTAAGTACATTAAGTATTTATTTATTATTAATCCGTAGGTATCATTTATTCTTTTTATTATTGACATTAAATTGACAACGAATAATTTTGTTTTGTTGGATTATTTTAATTTGTCGAAGAACTAAAATAATTTCGTTAATCACAAAAATTATAATAGGTATAGAGAAGAAGAAAACGTATGTGGTGTAAATTCAGAACGCACCCAAAACTAAACTAATTTTTTTGGAACTTTCATTTTAATGACTTCAATTTCAATACTTTAGATTGAATTGTACTGTAATAAATTGAAAAGAAAGAAAACATGAGCGAGTCTGAGTCTAGCGGTGATGAAAAACTAATTTGTTATAGTTGAACGGTTTTTCTTTCATCTACCATTTTCCTCGCTACAGTGAGGTGAAAAGTTGTATATTTCGCTCGGCAGCAAAGTTGTTTTGCGTCTCGTGCCTTGAAACCCTCGCTACGCTCTGGATTCCATTTGTGTTCCAATCTTAGTACCCTTCACTTGCCCAGGTTTCAATACAAGCACTCGCGCCAAACAACAACTTTGCAGCCTTGCATTACAAATAACTATTTTATGGGTATGCCGTGTAGAAAGAATGTAAATGTAAGAACGTTCTTGAGTTTTTTTATTGGCTCATTATTAGACAATTAATTATAATAATTGATTGAATTGAATTGCACACCATTTTTCATGGCGTCGCCATGTCTGAGGTTCCCGGTTCGATTCCCGGCCGAGTCAATGTAGAAAACGATTTTTTCTGTATTGTCTCGTGTCTGCGTGTACTGTCGTTGTTTCCGATGTGCCATAACACAAGTGCTTTAGTTACGTACTTTGGGATCAGAGAAACGAATGTGATCTTATCTATTTTTTTATTATTCATTTATATTTAAATTAAATGTGGTGGAGAACTTAACCAACTCTATAAATTATTATGAATGGACACAGTTTGCAAAAACAACGTGGAGAAAGAAAAACACAAAAAAATAACTAAATCTATAAAAGGAAATACAGACACAAACTTGATAACACGAGAAGAAGAATGCCAAGCCCAATCATAGTAAAAAGAAAAAAAAAATTAATTGAGGCTTAAATAAAATGTTGTGCGAAATTTGTTATAAAACAAAGTGGAATGCCCGTGCCCGCATTACGTGCTGAACAATTGTCATTACATGCAACAACTTATCGTCAGGGATAGATAATATAATTACGCGTAACTAGCATTATAAGTTTCCATTTCGCTAATTTATTCGCCAAATCAAACCGTACATATGTCGTGGCACCCAAATTAGCGTGATTTACGGGAAACTATTGTCATAAGTCTGTAGGCAACATCAATTAATGCTTCCTGTGCAAAAATGAAAGTCTTAGCCATTGAAATAACAAACAACTAACAACTAAATATGTGCGTCACAATAAGGGTTCAGTCGTCATCGCCTATAAGCAGGCAGCGGAAAATCGGGGATAGAGCTTCGGGCGGTGACCGTCTTCAGGTAACCGGCAGCTGTCAGAAGTTTCGCTCCAAAATACGAGCACGTCAGTATCATAAGTACTATTCAGGAGTTGTTTAGGGTCTCGGAGAATGGTGCCTGTCTTAGTACCTTTGTATAGAATAGGGCGAGGGTGTCGTTGACGAAGTACACGTGACACGTGTGCTAACAGCACGCGAAGTGCCACTTACTTGAGCTGAGTCCGCCATTTTCGTTTTGTACGTTAAGGTCGTGTCAATTATCTAGCGTAAAGCTTCGAAAATCGTACAGACATCCTGTATTTTGTTACTTTGGAGCGCGAAAAGTCTCACTTTTAATATTATCTTTGGTGGTATTTCGCATCATAGCCAAGTCTTATTTTATTTAATTTAATAAATCTTCAATTTTCTGTTTATCGTAATATTTTTTTGTTACAAAAAATGTAAGTAAACATTATACTGCTGCAATTTTAGTCGCTTCTTTTTCGAAGAACTAAGTAAACATTTCGATCGTTGTCGTTCAGCTATTCCCCGCTAGATGACAGCACATTGATTGAAATTTCAATATAAAATCAAAACTTCGTAACTTGTAATTAGAAACTACTACCAATGATTACCAAGATTTTAAATTATGAATGCGTAAGTTTAGGCGACAGCAGTTATGACAGTAATCAGAGGCTTAGCGCACTTCCATTGTTTTTTTTTCTTCCGTGGGTATAAGCATGCCAAATTGTTTTGTGCCGCTCTCATCCAACCACCTTCCTCTGGTCGTCTGTCCATTTTGCATTTGCTCTGACGTGGTCTCCATTCAAGTCTTCTACATCTACCATCTGCCATTTTGCAGTTACTTTAGCTCTTTGCCGTGTGACTTCTTTTAAACAAATTAACGGTAAGGAATTTGATATCATTTAACAACAGTTTAATAAGTACAGTAGCAAAAATAGAACGAGTCGAACCGATTGTAACTTTTTTTTAAAGGAAAGGTTTCGAAGGATACTATTAACCCATAAAAACTTTCTCAATATCTTTCCCCGTTTGAACCTAAAATTTACGACGATGTTCCCGTACTTTATTGCACACGATAATAAATAAGGTGTATATACATAGGCGACGATAGAAAAACAATGTACAAAATGTGGCCATACTGCCAAGTAGCAATTTTTTCTAGTAACCTTAAGTGTAAACACTTTTCAATGAATCATGAACGTACGAAACTATGTTTGTAGTGAAAAAACATTTATCAATCTAGAAAATACCATCAACTCTCCACCACTACTTACTTCTTTCTACAGGCTTTTCAAAGCATTATTTTCTTCATCGTCGTTCCCTCAATGGAGGTCGCCACCTTCATTCCCACTAGTTCTATTGAGTAATCCTATTAGAGAAGTACTGGGACTTTTTGCACCAGTTTGTCTAATCGATCACATGATGATCAGCTCGAGTAGATTCTATTTAATAACTATAATCCAGACATTCCAGAAAACAAGCACAACACACACTAGAACAACAACAACAACACAGCACTGGAGTTTAGTAAAAGAAGACGTCCTTGTGTAAGAGTTCAAATTCAAATTCAAATTCAAAATAATCTTTATTTTGATATGTAAATAAATATTTCCAGTGTAATAATGCTTACCTATAAGCATTATTACACTGGAAATCGTCACAATGGTTAAACTCTACTTCTTCGTTCGTTCAGGGAAGTACAGCCACCTTATCTATTTCAGCCGCCAAGCAGTAATGCCAGCATTACTGTGTTTTGCTTTTGAAGGGTAAGGGTGCTGGTGAAATTACAGGCACGTGAGATTTGTCAACTTATGTCTCAGGGTGACGGGCTCAGTGGCAGTGCGCCTCAGATCTTTGCGATTTAAAGAGCTGAGTGACACTGCAACTGTTATGGATAGGCGTAGGCGTGTAGCTTGCCATCAGTTGCACGACTAGTTCGTCCCATCACTAGATATTATAAAAAAACTTCTTAATCCATCGAAGGCAGATATAAGTACCCTTTTTGCTAAATAATATCTTTTAAAAATACTGATTGCTTTTCCTTCTGCTTGGGGTATAAAAACATTGATGATAATGTCGTAGAAGCAATGTGTAGAAGTTACGGTTTTAATGCAATAATAATTGTTTAAAGTGAATTTGTTGAATACTTTTCATGGTATTTGTGTATGAATTTGTGTATTAGTGAAAGTGGTATAATAAAGATACATGCAGATTGTTTGTCTTTGTTTTTAAAGAATATTAAAATAAAAT